CTAACACAACTGCCACCCATCCTCCCTCATTAACATCATAGAGGCAGGTTTACAACATACAGGAAAATCACACAGTACCAGGAATCATGGCCTAGCCAAATTGATACTCTTATTTTTGGGGGGACATAATTCAAACCATGACATTTCACCCTTTGGCCCCCCAAAAACCATATCCTTGCAACATGGAAAACATATCCACCCCACCATATCATAGCAAAAGTCTTAACTCCAAGTTCAAAATCCAAAAATTTTTCTTCATCTGTGAACTCTGGAATACAAGCTATCTGCTTCCAAAGGTACAATGGCAGAACAGGCACAAGCTAGACATTTCCATTACAAATGGGAGAAACTGGAGGGAAAGAAGGGATAACAGGCACCAAGCAAGTCAGCAGAACACCTTACGTTAGCCCTCAAGGCTTTGAAAATAAACCTCTGTTCTCTGAAACAATTTACACAATAGCCCTGCCCTCCAGACTCTAGGTATTGGCCATAGTCTCTGGATTTTGAGCGGAGGCCCCTCGGCCCTGGGCTTCAGCTCCGCCCTCCAGGCCCACTGGGACAGCAAGTCTGCTCCCTTGGCTTTAGGCGCACCATTCTCCTAGTCCATCAGAGTGACAACTCCACCCTTAGAAACACCAGAGGCCATGGCTCCACCCTTTGAAACCCCTGAGGTCATGGCCATACCTTTTGAGACTGAAGCAACTAGGCTTCTCGTGTCCCTTGTCTCTTCAGCTTCTGCTTCCTATGGCCTCTCGGCCCTCGGGCCTCACACCCGCATCTGCCCTGCTGGGGCAAGTGTTCCAAAGCTCTGTAGCTCCACCGGTGTAAGTGCCCAGAGGCACCCCACTCCGCCAGAAAGCCTCGGGCACACGGACACTCAGCTCCCTTGCTCCGTGGATCAGCAAGCCTAGCTTCACCGTAAGTACCCAGAGGCACCCCACTCCACCAGGAAGCCTCCTGCTCACAGGCACTCAGCTCTCTCACTCCGTGGGTTGGCTCCAGCGCCATCTCGCACTGGTCTCCTGGTTCTGCTGCTGTTGGTTCTCTGCTGCTGCTGCTTCTCTGCTGCTGTAGGTTCTCTGCTGCTGCTGGTCCTCTGTCACTGCCGCACGTCTATCCATTCACAGTTTTAAAACCGCTTCCACATTTTAGGGATCTGTTAGAGCAGCACCCCACTCTCGGTACCAAATTCTGTCTTAGTTATCTAGTGCTGCTATAACAGAAATACCACAAGTGGATGGCTTTAACAAAGAGAAGTTTATTTCCTCAGAGTCAAAGTAGGCTAAAAGTCCAAATTCAGGGTGTCAGCTCCAGGGGAAGTCTTTCTGCCTCTGTTGGCCTTCTCATCAGTGTTCCCCCGGACTAGGAGCTTCTCGGCGCAGGGACCCCTGTCCAAAGGACGTGCTCTGCTCCTGGCACTGCTTTCTTGATGGTATGAGGTCCCCTTGACTGCAGTCTCTTGAGAGACCCTGATCTAGAACCTCCCAGCCAAGCTGCTTCTGTATTCCTAACCCTCAGAAACCGTGTGAGATAGTAAATGTTTGCTGTCTTAAGCTATGAGATTTCGGGTAATTTGTTATGTAGCATTAGATAACCAATAGACCAAGGGACGAAGGCACTCACAGTCAGGGCGGAGAAGGGCAGACAAATACAATGCACAGTGCTTCGACTGAAAAAGCAGGGGAGAGTTAACTACAGTCCCTGGAGAAGGACATCACACTTGGTAAAGTAAAGGGTCGTGAAAAAAACGAAGACCCTCAACGAGATGGACTGACACAGTGGCTGCAACAATGGGCTAAAGCGTACAACAATTATAAGGATGGTGCAGGACCGGGCAGTGTTTCCTTCTGTTGTACATGGGGTCGCTGTGATTCAGAATCGACCCAATGGCACCTAACAGCAACACTTTTCAAAAAACTGAGATATAATTCACATAGATAAAATTCACCCTTAAGGGCTTTTTAGTGAATCCACAAAGTTGTGCACCCAGCACCACTATCTAATTCCAGAATATTTTCATCACCCCAGAAACCCTGTACCTATTAGCAGCAACTCCCCATTCCTCCTCCCCACCCAGCCCCTGACAACCACTCATTTACTTTCATCTCTATGGATTTGCCTTTTCTGGACATTTCATATAAACAGCATCGTACACTATGTGGCTTTTAGTGACTGGCTTCTTTCACTTAGCCTGTTTTCCAGGGGCATCCACGATGTAACGAGGATCAGCACTCTGTCCCTTTTTATTGCTTGGTAAGATTCCACTGTGTGGATGGACCACATTTTGTTCCTCCATTCGTCAGTTCATGGGCATCTGGGTTGTTTCCACTTTCCGAAGCCAAACTCCTCAAAAGAGCTATCTGCCGTCTGTTCCAATCCCTCTGTCTCAGCGCAGTCTGATCAGGCTCCTCTCCCGTGACGTCACTGAAACTCCTCTCACCCAGGTCACTGCTCAATCCAACGGAGACTACTCAGTCCTCTCCCAGCGCGGCCGGGCGCTCTCCGGGCTCTCCTCCCTCCTGCAGCGGTTGCTCCTTTTCTGTCTCCTGTGTGATCCTGGCAGTGCCGGGGGCTCAGCCCGCGGGCCTTACTCTATCCCTTCTCTATCTGTGGTCCTTCCTCTGGTGGTGGCATCCAGGCAAACGGAGTCAAATGTTCCCTACATGCTGGTGACTCTCCAGCTTCCACCTCCAGCCTGGACCTCTCTTCGGGAACCTACACCTGTACATCCAATTGTCTACACACCATCACCACCTGCATGTTTAACAGGCATTTCAGAACCCTCCAGGAGCTCCTGATCTCCCCCTCGTACCTGCTTCTGTCACGCTCCTCCCCATCTCACGTAGTGAAAACTTCATCCTCCCAGCTGCTCAGACCAAAAATTGCAGGCATTTTTGAGCCCTCTCTCTCACATCTCAGTCAACCCATCAGCAAATCTCGTCAGCTCTCCCTTCAAGAGATCCAGAATCTGACCTCTTAAGTTGCCCAAAAAGGAAAAAAAAACCCAAAACCAAACCCATTGCCATCGAGTCGATTTCAACTCATAGCGATCCTATAGGACAGAGTAGAACTGCCCCATAGGGTTTCCAAGGAGCAGCTGGCGAATTCGAACTGCCGACCTTTTGGTTAGCAGCCATAGCTCTTAACCACAGTGCCACTAGGGCTCCGAGCCACGATCCCCTTTTGCCTAGATTATTTAACTCCCTTCTCCACAGCAGCTACAGTGATCCTGTTAAAACTTCGGTCAGATGGTGCCACTATTCTGCTTAAAATTCTCCAATAGTTCCCATTTTATTCAGAGAAAAAGTCAAAGTTCTTATAGTGTGTAAAATAAGATCACAAGTTTTATTTTAAGAAAACAGAGCTTTCTTTTACCCATGACACCAAAAGTCATCTTATTAAATGTTAGAAAGCTCTGTGCTGTATAATCGTTTAAGTATGTGTACGTGTGTGTACATATATACACACAAAACAGGGCTTAACCACTGCACCGCCTGGGTTCCAAATACATATATAGTAATGCCTGTAGCTATGCAGCTACGTCAGAAAACCTGGTTGCATAGTGGTTAAGAGTTCAGCTGCTAACCAAAAGGTCAGCAGTTCGAATCCACCAGGTGCTCCTTGGAAACCCTGCGGGGCAGTTCTACCCGACGGCAATGGGTTTGGTATTTTTTTTTTATGCATATAAAAGCATATTAAAAAAATTCTACGCCTATCAAAGCGCTCGGCTGCAAGGTTGGTGGTTTGAAGCCACCAGCCACTCCACGAGAGAGATGTGGCAGTCTGCTTCTGTAAAGAGTTGCAGCCTTGAAAACCCTATGGGGCAGCTTGATTCTGTCCTATAGGGTTGCTATGAGTTGGAATTGACTTGACGGCAATGGGTATAGCTGTCTCGCGTGCTGATGGTACACTGGTTAAGCACTTGGCTGCTAATCAAAAGGTTGGTGGTTCCAACCCACCAGCCGCTCTGCGGGACAAAGATGTGGCAGCCTGCTCCCATAAAGATTTACAGCCTTGGAAACCACAGGGGACAGTTCTACGCTGTCCTATAGGGTTGCTATGAGTCAGAATCGACTTGATGGCAGCGCGTTTGGTTTTTTTGGTATAGCTATGCCTTGAACTCTAGTTTCTAGAACGAGCTTGTCTAGTTTCACAGAATTGTATTTAGGTGACCGGGCTTACTCAAACACTTGAAAACTTGTTCTTTCAGAAAACAATCAAAGATTAATGAACGTGACTCCAGAGGTCTTGTAATCATGGCTCACGGCTCTTGTGATGTCTTAGTAAGATTTCTATTTTTTATCCTTTATAATGTTTGTGCACATATTGTTCTCTTGTAAGATTTATGTATTCTGACATAATCCTCAACCAATCAAAACTTTTCGTTCAAAGTTCCTGTTTAAATTATATATAAATACCCTGAAAAATCTTAATTGGTGCACTGATTTACTCAGTAACGATATGATGTCCATCTTTAAAGCTGTCTATTAAACCTGCACGTTGTCGTTGTCGTTGCCGTTAGGTGCCATGGAGTGGGTTCCAACTCATAGCGACCCCATGTACAACACAACCAAACACTGCCCGGTTCTGCGCCATCCTCACAACCGTTGTTACGCTTGAGCCCATTGTTGCAGCCACTGTGTCAATCCATTTAGTCGAGGATCTTCTTCTTTTCCGCTGAGCCTCTACTCTACCAAGTATGATGTCCTTCTCCAGGGACTGGTCCCTCCTGATAAACCTGTACAGCAATCTGTTAATGTTGTTCTGAGTCGTTTATTTTGGACCAGTGGCCTGCAGAGCTTGGGTAATGCGATCTCCTTCTGTCTGTGAACCATCTCTCATGCCCTTCCGCCTTGCACCCTGCACCTGCCGCTCTAGCGTCCTTGCCATCCCTGGAACATGCCAGGCACACGCCTGCCTCGGAGCCTTCGCCTTGTATTCTGCACCCGACGGGCAAATTGTGTAACTCCTCTGAGCCTCACTCCCCACCCCCAACCCCGTAACACAGACATTATACAGAAGCTGAAGAGCCATTGTCAGAGTTTAAGCTACTAACAGGAGAAACCGAGATCTGAACCCAGGTTCCCCTAACTCCAAAACCCGTGCTATAGCCACAGCATCAAAAAACGCGATCAAACAGAAGGCACCGAGTTGGACAAAGACGCACACGTGGCGGGAGGGCAGGGAGCACCGCCATGCTTCCCCCTTCACCCCGCGGCCCGGGTCTCACCCGCTCCGGGAGCCGAAGCTCTCAGGATGCTGCGGCTGCACGCGGACGCCAGCCGCCCGAAGGTGACCGTCAGAGCCGAAGCTGCTATGGCCGCCGCCATCTTCCCGCAGCCGCGGCCGGAAGCGGAAGTGGCGCAAACGCCGTGCGTTGGCGCACTGGGTCCGATGGGGAACGCCGGCCCGGCGAGGAGCACCGGACAGGTTGGGAGCTTTGGCCCGGCGCAGGAACGCGAGCTCGGCGGGCTCCGGGGCCGGCGGCAGCCATGGCTTCGGCGACTGTGGAGAGCTTCGTGACCAAGCAGTTGGACCTGCTGGAGCTCGAGAGAGACGCGGAGGTCGAGGAGCGCAGGTACGGCCGGCGGTTTCCTGCGGCCCCCGCTCGCCCTGCTCAGAGTTCCCGGCTCCTCCTGGCCTGGCGGGGCCACAGGCCCCTGCTCGGCCGCCTCCGGAGAGGGGACCCTCATTACCTCCCGCGGCAGCCTGTTTGCGTTTTCATTTTCAGACCCCTAGAAAGCCCCTTCTTTTCTCGACCTGAAATCCCCTCTCAAAACGTACGCTCAGAGGGCGGTGGGGGTTCATGGCAGGACTGTCGTCTTCCCTGAGGGGGCCCGGCTTCCCTTCCCAGCCTGTGCGCCTCACATGCCGCCACCACCCTCTGTCACTGGAGGCTTGTGTGTTACTGTGATGCCGACCACGTTTCACTGGAGCGTCCAGACTCTCATGGACTAGGAAGAAAGGCCTGGCGATCCTTCCCCAAATCAGCCAGTGAAAACCCTATGGAGCACAATGGTCTGATCCCGTTGTGTATGGGACCCCTCTTAGTGGGGGCCGACTGGAGGGCAGCTGACAACCACCAAAAGCTTACAGCCCTAGGTACTGGTTCTAGCCCCAATTCCACGCCCAGCTGTTCGCAGCCCTTTTCCTTATTCATCCACTCAGTAAGCATTGCCCGCGCCTCTTCCACACCAGGCCCTGGCAAAGCAAGTTAAGACACAGCGTCTGTCTGTGATCTGATTAGTTGGAGGCTGGGTGTCGGCAGAAAGGGTAGATGGAAACGCAAACAATCCCCTCCCAGGGTGAGAAATGCTGGCAGGGAGGCAGAAAGTGGGGGAGTTGGGGGGGCGGCTGGAGGAAGAACAGATGCCTCCCCTGGGGGGAGGGCCAAGGATGGCTCTGCGGAGGAGGTGATGTCTGAACAGAGCTTGAAGAAAGAAAAATAGGGGTTTAGTGGGTGAACGTGGGGAGGTGGAGCAGAAAAAATGTGAGAGGGAAAGCATGCCTGCATGGGAGAAATGGGAACACCCGTGTGGCTGAAATGATACGAGCCAGCACCTGCCTCGGGGCCCTATGGAGCAGCTCTACTCTGCACACCTCGGTCGCCAGGAGTCAGAATGGATGTAATGGCTGCTAGCATTCCTTTACACCTCACTTCACCCCTGTGAACAGGTTACTGTTGTCACACTTGCTTGGCTGAGAAGGAGACTGAGCCAGAGAGGTTAAGTAACTTCCCCAGGGTAACACAGGCTGTCAGGCTTTGAGGGGAGGCAGTCTGATTCTAGAGTTTGCCCTCAACCATCACATCGCATACAGTGATTGGATTTGTTTGACAAGGTATCGATTGTGACGGTTAAGTCAGATTGACCTTATTGGAATCCCAGCTCCTCCATTTATGGCTGTGTGACTCTGCAGGTTCCCTCTCTGAGCCTGAGTTACCTCATCTGTAAAATGGGAATGATTCCCACCTGGCAGCCTTGCTCTGAGAATGAAATGCTGTGTCAGGTGCTCTGCGTGGCAGCCAGCACCTCTGGTTGGTAGCTGTTCCTGACAGTGCAAGAGAGAGGGGCCTCACACCGGGAGTGTCTGTTCTATTCTGTGTGCAGAGCGTGGCCGGCAGAGCGGTTGAGCAGGTGAGGGAGGGGATACATCTGCATTTTAGGAGTCACTCTGGTGCTGCTGCTGGACAGCTGGACTGGGAGACGCCAGAGCTTAGGCAGTTACAGTTACAGCTGCTATGGAGTCGACTCTGATTCACGGCACCCCCCCATGTGTGTCAGAGTAGAACTGTGCTCCATAGGGTATTTGATAGCTGATTTTATGGAAGTAGCTCACCGGGCCTTTCTTCCGAGGTACCTCTGAGTGGGTTCGAACCTTCAACCTTTCCATTAGCAGCCGAGCGCATTAACCATTTGCACCAATCAGGGACTCTGGTGGGGCTAAGTTAGGAGACTGTTCAGTTCAGGCGAACAGGGATGTGGGCTTAAACCAGGGCTATAGTGGTGAGCATGAGAGGTAGTGATGGACTCAGGGTATGACTGTGGGGGAGGGCGGTTGATAAAACTTAGTGACTGATGGGCGAAGGAGAGGGTAAAGGTGACTGAAGGTTCTGTCTCGGGTAACTGGGAGGAGGGGCCTGGTGTTATGGGCACCAGGGATCAGAGGAGGAGGAGCAGGTTTGCGCATGGGCAGTCCTGAGTTTCGTCGGCACAGATCTTTCTCTGCTTTTCTCTCCCTTTTACTTTCTTCGTGCATGAACGGAAGTAAAAACTGGCAAAGTGCAAATATCGAGTATCAATGCTGTGTGTCTTCCAGGTCCTGGCAGGAAAGCATCTCGCTGAAGGAACTCCAGAGCCGAGGCGTTTGTCTCCTGAAGCTGCAGGTGTCCAGCCAGCGCACCGGGCTGTACGGGCGGCTGCTGGCCACCTTCGAGCCCAGAAGGTGCGGGTCTGCAGCGGTGCTGCCCAGCAACAGCTTCACTTCCGGTTTGTGCGATGTTTAAAGATAGCTTTATTGAGATAGAATTTACATGCCATGCAATACACCCATTTAAAGTGAACAATTAATGGAAGAAACCCCGTTCTCTTTAACTGTCACCTCCCCACCGCCCAGCCCCCTGAGCCCAAAACCTTTTGCTGTCCAGTCGATTCTGACTCATAGCAACCCCATATGACAGAGTAGAACTGCCCCACAGAGTTTCCAAGGCTGTGGTCTTTATGGAAGCAGACTGCCACATCTTTCTCCTGGGATCGCTGGGGGGTTCGAACCTCTGACCTTTTGGTTAGCAGCCGAGTGCTTAACCACTGCGCCTCCAGGGCTCCTTCCCCAAGCCCTGGGCACCCACTGATCTACTTTCTGTCTCTATGCGTTTGCCTACTTTGGGCGTTTCATATACATGGAACCTACACTACGTGACTTTCTGTGTCTGGCGTCTTTCAGTTAGTGTGCTGTTTGCGGGGATCACCGTGTTTTAGCGTGTATCAGAGCCTCATTCTGTTTTACATATTTTAAACAGTTTTATATGTAAGGAGCTCTGGTTGCGCAGTGGTTAGAGTACTCAGCTGCTAACCGAAAAGTTGGCAGTTTGAACCCACCACCCGCTCCGTGGGAGAAAGATGTGGCAGTCTGCTTCTGTAAAGATTTACAGCCTTAGAAACCCTGTGGGGCAGTTCTACTCTGTCCTATACCGGGCAGTGCGAGTCAGAATCGACTCGATAGCAGTGGGCTTCGTTTTGGTTATTGATATATAATTCACATAAAGAATGGACTCATTTAAAGTGTATCATTCAGTGGTTTTTAGTATATCCACACATGTGTACAACCATCACCACAATCAATGTTAGAACATTTTCATTTCCCCCAAAAGAAACCTCATGCCTCTTAGCTGTCATCTGTCAATCCCTGCCATCCCCTCCCAGCCCTAGGCAACCACTGATCCACTCTCTGTCTCTATGGTTTTGCCTGTTTCATATAAATGGAACTGCGCGCTGTGTGGTCCTTTGCGACCGACTGGCTTTCTTTCACTTAACATGTGTTCAGGGTTCATTGGTGCTATCGCATGTATCAGGACTTTATTCCTTTTTATGGCTGAGTAATATTGCCTGAATATACCACATTTTGTTTATCCATTCATCCATTGGTGGACATTTGGGTTGTTTCCTCCTTTGGCTATTATGAATAATGCTGCTGTAAACATTCATGTACAAGATTTTGTGTGGACATATCTTCATTTCTCTTGGGTAAATACCCAGGAGTAGGATTACTGGGTCATATGGGAAAGGTTTGTACGTTTTCTCACGTGGAAATATGATGGCTCTTGCTGGCGTTCAGCCTGTGACTTTTATTTTTGTAAAAGACTGGAGTACACATGACGAGGTGGGGAGACTGCAATGAGAAATTCCTCGGCTCTGTGGCTTCCTCATGTCTAGAGCAGCACCGTCTGCAGGAGCAGCCGTTGGCCACAGTGCCTGTCGAGCACTTGAAATGTGGCTAGTGATGTGTTGAAAGTGTAAAATATCCCCCTGTCATGGATTGAATTGTGTCCCCCAGAAGTATCTGTCAACTTGGCTAGGTAATGATTCCCAGTATTGTGTGATTGTCTACCATTTTGTCATTTGATGTGATTTCCCTGTGTGTTGTAAATTCTATCACTATGATGTTAATGAGATGGATCAGCAGCGGTTATATTGATGAGATCTACAAGATTAGATAGTGTCTTAAGCCAGTCTCTTTTGAGATATAAAAAAGAGAAGTGAGCAGAGGGACAGGGGACCTCAAACCAAGAAAGCAGCACTGGGCGCAGCGTGCCTCCTTTGGACCAAGGGTTCCTGTGCGGAGGAGCTCCTAGTCCAGGGGAAGATTGATGAGAAGTACCTTCCTCCAGAGCCAACAGAGAGAGAAAGCCTCCCTGCTGGAGCTGACGCCCTGAATTTGGACTTCTAGCCTCCTAGACCGCGAGAAAATAAATTTCTCCTTGTTAAAGCCATCCACTTGTGGTATTTCTGTTATAGCACTACTAGATCTAAGATACCCCTGATTTTGAAGACTTGGCACAAAAAAAAATTTAGAATATCTCTTGAATAGTTTTTTGCATATTGATTACATATTAAATGGGTCATATATTTTTCATTTCTAGGGTTAAGTGAAATATACTATTTTTAAAATTAAATTTAGCTATTTCTTTTTTGTTTTGTTTTTAACATGGCTCATAGAAAAATTTGAATTACATGTGGCTCTCGTTATATTTCTGTTGGACGGTGTTGGTCCAGCTTGTTGAACATGCAGTGTATGTAGTTCTCTATTCCTGTACTTTTCTTGTGCTATATATACTTTGGCTAAATGTGTGTGCCTTAGTCATCTAGCGCTGTTGTAATAGAAATACCACAAGAGGATGGCCTTAACAAACAGAAATTTATTCTCTCACAGTCTAGGAGGCTAGAAGTTCAAATTCAGGGCACTGGCTCCAGGGAAGGCTTTCTGTCTTAGTTGGCTTTGGAGGAAGGTCCTTGTCATCAATCTTCCCCAGGTCTAGGAGCTTCTCAGCGCAGGAACCTCGGGTCCAGAAGATGTACTCCACTCCCAGAGCTTCTTTCTTGGTGGCACGAGGTCCCTTTCCTCTTGGCTGGATTCTCCCTTTCATATCTCAAAAGAGATTGACTCAAGATACAACCTAAGCCTGCAGGTTGAGTCCAGCCTCATTAACGTAACTGCCTCTTATCCAGCCTCATTAACATCATGTTGTTGTCGTTAGGTGCCACCCAGTCAGTTCCGACTCATAGCCACCCCATATACAACAGAACAAAACAATGCCTGGTCCTGTGCCATCCTCACAATCGTTATGCTTGAGCCCATTGTTGCGGCCACTGTGTCAGTCCATCTCGTTGAGGGTCTTCCTCTTTTCTGCTGACTGTCTACTTTACCAAGCATGCTGTCCTTGTCCAGGGACTGGTCCCTCCTGATAACGTCCAGAGTATGTGCCCTACATCCTCTCAGGCGCCTGGTCTCCTAGGTGCCCAAGCAGGCATCTCTGTGCCTCTCAGGGGCTGCCTTTGGTCACGGCGTGAGCCCACCCCTGCTGTGCTCACTGCAGTCAGGGGCATGCGGAGCCCTGGTCACTGGTATAGGCTTGGGTCTGTGCGCTGTCCCCAGAGTCGATTGAGGCCCCTCAGATCACCTGGCAATGGATGGGTCACCAGTTATCCCGGGAAGGAGGAGATCCATGCGGAGTGGGCAATAAACAGCTGCCGTCCTCCATCTGCCTTTCGTTTCTGCCAGGAATGTTCCTCCCCAACCGTGCTGATGGCCCTCGCTCTTGTGGGGTCCCCGCTGCTTACCTGTCACTCCTCAGAGAGGCCTTTCCCTACGCTCTTTCTACAAAAGCTCCTTGTCCCTCTCCACCCCCTTCCTGTGCCTTTCTTTCCTTTATAGCACTGATGACATCTTAGTGGTTTGAGGACGGGGCTGTGTTTTGTTCACAGTTCAGAGCCAGTGCCTAGGATAGCGCCTGGTCCAGACAGGCTCTTTAAATAACTTATTGATTATCATGTTTGTTTAAACAGCTCCTTGTTCCTGAGTAAATTTTCATACTGTTTAACCAAACCTGTTGCCATCAGGTTGATTCCGACTCAGAGTGACCCCATGTGTTAGAGTAGAACAGCTCCGTAGGGTGTTTTTTGGCTGTAATCTTTACCGAAGCAGATCGCCAGGCCTTTCTTTCCCGATGCTGCTGGAGGTTCGAACTGCCAACCTTTCTGTTAGTGGTCTAGCGCAAACCATTCGCATCACCCAGTAACCTTAGGTGTTAATTTTTTTTTTTTTTACTGTTACTGATTTTGTTTACGAAAAAAAGTAACAAAGATGTAGTATTGGAAGTAGGACGGAATTTATTCTATGAGATAACTTGTGTTTAGCTTTCCTCAGTGTTTTACATCACTTTGAGCTGTTGTTTTTACAGGCGATATAGTGGGGCTGTACGACGCCGCTAATGAAGGCAGTCAGCTGGCCACGGGGATTCTGACCCGGGTCACCCAGAAATCCGTCACGGTGGCTTTTGACGACTCCGATGATTTCCAGTTGAGCTTAGAGCGAGAGAAGTCCTACAGACTACTCAAACTTGCCAACGATGTCACTTACAAGCGACTGAAAAAGTGAGTGTGTGTGTTGAAATCGGAGGTAACGTTTTCCTTAAGCACATCTAACTCCCTCCCGCTGCTTTTCCTGTTGAGCAAACTAACAGCAACCGTGGTCCCAAGTGGTTCTTGGCGGGGCTGGGCTCGGGGGGGCTGGGCTC